CGACGAAACAGTTTGTCTATATATACCGGTTACCCTCTCTCTCTCTCTCTCTCTATATATATATATATATATATATATATATAGGCTAATTATTTTGAGCCCAAGCCATTCAATTTCATGACGTCCTGAATGCCATTTGCATGACTTACCAACTGAGCTAGGCTGGTGGTTTACCCCATTAAATATGGGGTACAAATGCAAATTCTTGTAAAAAGGAAAAAGAGGGGGGGGAAAAGAGCAATGTTGGCGTCTCAGAGTAGTACTCCCAGTCCTCCTAGTCCTCCCAGTGTCCCACTGGGACATTTTCGACTGAGCCATGGATGTAATTGCCATCATATACATTCGTTTGGGTCTCGAATTGCAGCCTAATACATCTAGGAATACCCTGAGTTGGCTGAGTTTATGAGCTGCATTCTGCACGTTATTTATTTATTTATTTAAAGGTAAGGTATATTCTTCTCTCATCTATTTCATCTTTCTTGGTAGCACACATCTATCTCATCCTCTCACTAGTCTATGTATAGTACGGGGGAACACCAACCAACCCGGATCTCTCCCCAGCCCACAGGATAGGTTGGCACCACAGCTGTGGTGCGAGCGCAAGGCTGTACCAGTCCCGCATCACGGTGACGAAGAGTGGGCAGGCATTGCCTATGGGGGAAATCGGCGGTGCTAGCGCCAAGGCAATGGCCAGTCACGGCACCTCCCCCTACCCCCCTCCAACCCCACATGGCCGTGTCTAATGGCCAATATCATTGCTGCATATAGCAACCAACAATATTTGCCCAAGGTCCTGCCAACGCTGGCTTGCTTGGGGTGCCAACGGGTTATCTCTAGCTGGTAGAACCCCAAGCTTGCCCACGCACACACTGCAAGTTCGATGGAAGGCATGGCTGCTCCACCACTCTGCAAATGTGAAAAGCACATTTCATTTCGTGGATTTGAAAAAAATACCGAGCGTACCTTTCTGGCTTATGGCTGAAGGTGCACCCGCCATCTCACACATTTTGGCGGGTACCGTCTTGCCCCGAGCACAACGCACCCTCATTTCGACTGCATCGGGCTGGAAACATACCTTGTATGCATTCATTTTCAGGGTGCGTTATGCTCGGGGGAAGACGTCACGTTAGTGCAGTCGAGGGGCAGCAGCACCAAAAGGCACACGGCCACCTTTTGACCCCCTCTTCCAACGCGCAGACGGGCAGTGGCACCGCCTGCGGCAAGGACTCAAGTGCAAGGGGGCACGCTTGTCGACCCTCTTTTCCGACGCGGGCTCGGAGGTAGGATAGGGAGGGGGAGGGTATACCGGGGTGGTCTGGGCGTGGCGTGGGCAGGGGTGGACGCGGGAGGAGGAACAGTAAGGGAAGGGAGGCAGGAAGAAGAAGAAGAAGAAAGGCATCTTGTTCTCTCTCTTTCTTTCTCTCTCTCCCTGTCATCCTCATTCGAGCAGCTGTGACTCCGACTCCGGTCTATCGCGATGGGGCGCGTCATCAGAGCACAGCGTAAGGGTGCGGGTTCCATCTTTCGTTCTCACACTCATCGCCGCGTTGGAGCGGCAAGGTTCCGCAGTCTCGATTACTCCGAGCGCAATGGATACATCAAGGGAGTGGTGACTGACATCGTCCACGATTCCGCCCGAGGCGCTCCCCTTGCTAGGGTTACCTTTCGTCATCCTTTCCGCTACAAGCATCAGAAGGAGTTGTTCGTGGCGGCGGAGGGTTTGTACACTGGCCAGTTTGTGTACTGCGGGAAGAAGGCGACATTGTCGATCGGAAATGTCCTGCCTCTGAGGTCGATGCCCGAGGGGTCCATCGTGTGCAATGTTGAGCAGAGGGTCGGAGACAGAGGGTCGTTTGCAAGGGCATCTGGGGACTACGCCATCGTTGTCAGTCATAACCCTGACGCGGGCACTTGTAGGATCAAGCTCCCCTCTGGCGCGAAGAAGGTCGTGCCGGCTGGTTGCAGGGCTATGGTTGGACAAGTGGCTGGCGGCGGGCGCACGGAGAAGCCCATGCTGAAGGCGGGAAACTCCTATCACAAGTACAAGGTGAAGCGTAACTGCTGGCCTAAGGTCAGAGGTGTGGCGATGAACCCCGTCGAGCATCCCCACGGAGGAGGTAATCACCAGCACATTGGGCACGCCTCGACGGTCAGGAGGGACGCACCTCCAGGGCAAAAGGTCGGTCTCATTGCTGCGCGGAGGACCGGTCGTCTGCGCGGGCAAGCTGTCACCAAAGAGAAGGCCAGCAAGGATTAAGAAAAAGACGAGCAAGACGACGAATTGCGTTCCGTTCCGTTCCGTTTCGTTCCTTTATCCTTCTTTGGTTGGTGGCAAGATTGCCGTCGGAGTTGCTGTCGTCGAAGCTCTTGACCGTCGTCTCTCTTCTCTCTTCTCTCTTCTGTTTTCTTCTCTGGCCGATTTTGTGTCGAGGACGGAGAGTCGGAGAGTCCATTTCAGCTATATCTTCTCTTATATAAATGCAGGATTTGTCTTCGACCACGAGGAATGTATGAGAAGTCTCGTCTTTTTTTGCCCGATGTTTTTTTGTCGAGCATGATGAGCAGGATTCGCGCGAGAGCAGCAGGGACAGGGAAGGAAAAAGGTCGTTTGTTCTGTTCTTTTGCCCTAATTTTCTGTTGTCGAGCATGATGAGTAAGATTGTTTTGTGAGGGACAGAGAATTTTTTTTCGAGGGGACAGGGAACTCGCTGTCGGTGGAGAAGAGGTTCAGGAGGAGGACGGAACTTTGTGAGATTTTCTGGAAAAAAAAGAAAAAATATCGCTGGCGATTCAAATGCTTTGGGGGACGAGCAAAGCTTTTCGAAATGTGTGGAGGCCTTGCGGTGGTGGTGGTTGTCTATTGAAAAAAAAACAGCATTTTTTGTCTTGCTTGGGAAGAAACAGGTTCGTTGACACAGTCCGCGCAGCATGTGTATTAGGAGCCATAGTGCGGGAAGGTGAAAAAGAAATGGAACAGATATGCAGGAAACACGAGGGGTGGGGGAGAGAATTCGGTTGGGGGGAAGGGAGGGGGTGGGGGGGGAGGAAGATCACATCAGGAAATGATGTTTTGAAAGAAAAGAGAAAAGAGAAAAAAAAGAGAAAAAAAAGAGAAAAAAAAGAGTTTGGACAACCACTGGGCAAGGTGCGTTTTGCTCCGATTGTTGTACTTCAGACCGTTGATTTTCGGGATTAATGGACGGACAGAAAATCGTAATCCAGGTATAAGTTGAGTGGGGCGACGTTCCGATCACATTCTTATGTGGCGTGAGCACTGCATATAGACTATTTAGGGCAAGACCGAGGTAGGGTACTGATAAGATGCACCTGTAACTGTGTCAAGCGTGGTGTCATGAAGTGACGATATATGTGATATATACCACGTGGGCGGCCTTGTACGCAAGAGGTTCTGAACAGGGGGAGTTGTAAGGAAGAAGATTAAAAACGAATTTAAGATTTTTTTGCTTTTTTGGTTTTTTCGCTTAGGCGCTCTGATATCATGTGACTATATATGTGGAGTATTACTGATTATTGTTGATGAACAGATCGAGAGTGATACGTGCTTAAGCGAAGTGCAATGCACGTGCGTGTAGGTGTGGCAAGCGTAGTACTCTGCTATAGTTCGGTCTATCTTCGAGGATAGACGGATCGAGATTGAGCACCTGTAAGCGTGTAGTACCTTATAGATTGAATTGCTGCCAGCTTAGTGCTGTACACGCACATAACTGTGGGGTGCGACGTTGCATAACTCACAGTATAGCTGTTTGATTAAACAGAGCGAGAGCGAGCCAAGTGTGTACTAGCGTAGTTGCTGTGTAGATATCCCTTTGCGCACTGAAATTTAATACCTATGGCCGCAAATTTAGGAGTGTGAGTGCTTTTACCTGGTTGAAGCCAGTGGGATCCGACGACTACGGTGCAGAAAACGTCGAAGCTGCGCGCAGGAACATCGCTAAATATGCCTAGAGGAGCGTAATTGTGGCAAGCGTAGCGCTGGAAATATACGATTATGACGACCGTCGTGCTGGCATGCGCATAACTGAAGTTATAGACAGATCGAGAGCTATCCGTGACAAGCATGTGTCTGAAGTGTTAAATGTGGACACTGATGATGCTTATATATATATGTATGTATATATATATGACTCTCAATCTACAGATCAAGAGCGATCTGTGACAAGCGTTGTGCGATATACGTATGAGTCATCGTAGTGCTTCACCACACATATTACAAAGGGTTGCTAAGAACAGATCGATAGCGAGAGCGAGATAGAATCGTGTGCGGCATTGATAGGTTTGAAGATAGCACCAGACCGACTTTGGGGGAAAGGAAAGTAGCAGCAGAGACGATAATGGTGGACAATAATGGACGTCACGAAGAGTGAACAAGAACGAAAACATGGACGTGGAAATCGAGGCTAGGGCGCGTCAATCGGTATCGTGTAGTCTGAGAAAAGAGGAGGGGGGGCTTTCCACACTGCTCGTTAGGAAACGAAGGACGGCGAGCGGCACTTGGTACAAGCATGGCAAGGTACATCGGTTATTATTCATAATAGTGACGGATGTATGTTGCAATCTTTTGAGTGAAAGATACAATCACCACTTTCCTCGCTGCACGAGTAGAGTGTCGCGTCCTAGCGACACCTGTCCCAGTTTGACCTGTAGGTTAGGGTTTTCTTAGGGCAGACAACAAAACTAGTGCCGGTCTTAAGATAGCTATAGAACTCGTCATACGGAGAGGTCCCCCTATTGCTCGGATCCCTCGTTTCTGGTGATTGGTTGAGTGATCCTGGTAATCAATCGATGACAGGGAATGAAGAAGAATTTAAGATTCTGATTCGCTGCTGTAACAAAAAAAGAAAGAATTCGACTCGAGGAAGAGAAAAATTTAAGATGCTTCTGATTCGAAATAACGAAAAAAAAAGAAAATGACTCAGTAAAGAGGTTGAACATCGCTCCAGGAGATGGTTGATCACTGTTTCGTTTTTTCTTTTTTTTTGTTTTCTATTTAGGAACGATGTTTGCCAACATCGGTGGGTCGCTGAGTGTGTACTTGTCGAGTTGGGAATTGGGGTTTTGGTACGGTTTGCGGCAGGTGGAAATTGCCGCCCATGGACTGAGCGTTTTTTGTCCATTAAAACAAAACGGAACGTGAAGGGTTTGTCGATCGTGTTTAGCACTGGTTATAAAGCCTATTGTCGCCGTTCTACCAGCTTTATTACGTCTTGGGCATTGTTGGGCTACCTTAAGATATCTAGGGTTAATATTGACCTGGCAGTAATTGGGCAAAATTCGCCTCAATTAGTGTATTGTTTGACTGATGAACGGGAGTGGAAAGAGCTCCTCACTTCGTCTCTCTCTTTTGATGGAAGGCCCCTTGCACGCGCGCTGTCAGTATCAGCATCCTCGTTTCCTATCCATCCACTGAGCGAATCCGCGGCGTGCGTATTTTTAATTGGGCGTTCTAATCCTAACGAATAGAAGGCAACTGTACAAAGGGATCGAGCGAAAATAGGGGCAAAGCGTGTCCCATCTCTCTTCCCAAACGCACACGCGCGTGATTTCTCCCTCTCTCACCCTGCTTCTCGCTGGATCGGCCTAGCATGTTGTCCCGTTCGTAAACACAAAGCAATGACTCTGGACGTTGGTCCACCTGTGGGCGTGTGGAACCCCGTCGAGAGAGATAGAGAGATTCGTTGGTTGAGAGAGAGAGAGAGAGAGAGAGAGAGAGAGAGAGAGAGGAGATTCGTAAACGCAAAGCAACGACTCTTGCCGTTGGTTGAGAGAGAGAGAGAGAGAGAGAGAGAGAGAGAGGAGATTCGTAAACACAGCCATGACTCTTGCCGTTGGTTGAGAGAGAGAGAGAGAGAGAGAGAGAGAGAGAGATGCATAAAGACAAAGCAATAAAAGCAATGACTCTTGCCGTTGGTTCATCTGTCGGCGCGCTGAACCCCGTCGAGAGAGAGCTTGTGTGCATGTTTTCTTGCATACGTGCGTGTGTATGAACGTTTGTGTGCACAAGCATACATATTGTCACAAAGTTATGAGTGCGCAAAAGCGAAAAAAAACAAAAGGAAACAGAAAAGATATCAATTCATTTTTTATCTTACAACTCCCCCTGTTCAGAACGTCTTGCGTATATATATATACATATATATATGGTCGTATATGGTATATGGCCTCATTCGTTTCGTCGTTTGTTGTATAGATTTGCGTGCAGATTTATAGTGATGTGTATATGTATTCATATTACGCAGCACATATGTATGTGCATGGATATATGTATTTGTTTTAATATGCTTTATATACATGTGCACAAGATATAGCTCAGATATGTAAAGTGAATATACAGACAGAAAGGGACAAAAGGAAGTGGAGGCGGGGGGGGGGTACAAGGCTTTGGCAAACTGTTTAATAGGATTTTTACCTACGGTCTTCCCCCGAGTAGAAACGGCCGGTCATTATCGCCGCATCTAGACAGAAAGCCGTGCGAAATACATCTATAATTACCGGGCGATCTATTTGGGTAAAGACGGTAGTCATCATGAGGCTTTTTACCGCGACGGTGAACGGAACTCCCAAATTTTTTAATTATTTTTTTCAAAATTTAAGAAAATATAATAAGAAAATTTAATGGATAGTCTACGATAACCCTATTTGAAGTTGTGCACGGTGCACTGCGATGGAGGGGGGTCCATATGGGGGTAAATGTGTATACGTATGTATATTTCTATCGGAGCAAATGTGTATACATATATGTATATATTTCTATGCGATGTATTTGTACATCACGTTTCTGCATTCTTATATGTGCGATTATGTTTTGTACTTGCTCAATGGATCTACACACAACGAATTGTAACTATGACAGATCCTTGCCCTCGATCTTCGGCCGATTTATCGAACGGTCTGTGGGCCTCTCTCCAGAAACCGATTGTGTCAAATGGGATTGAATGAATCTTTCGCTAGAACATGGAAAGATTCACAGCCAAAGTGTTTGTCTTTTCTGCATGTGGTGAGTTGTGCAGCGAGGTCGCGCGTCTGTGTTCGGGTCTGTGTGGAACCCCAGTTGCAGCTGTGGACGTTGAGCACTGAGCTGCAGGGTCAGGTATACAAATATGCATACAGATCCTGCATGCTGCCATCTCTACTGTGTACAGGGCGATAAGAGAGGGGAAGAGGACAACAAACGGTAGAGGGCTGTGACAGAGACTCTTTGCTAGGGAGTTTCACCCACTCTTCAAGAGACCACCTCTACCGTCTGCGGAGTTGCCTCAAGAAGTGATAATCCACGTTTATTCCAAGTTAACTGTGATTAAGCATTCAAATGCTGAGGCCTTCCCTCACCAAGACATGATCCACTCTTATTAACCCCAGTTAATTGTGATTATTACACATTTAAGGCTCATGCCGTTCCTCATCAAGTGGTGATCCACCCTTATTAACCCCAGTTACTTGTGATTATTAGGCATGAAAGGCTGAGCCCTTACCTCACCAAGTGGTGATCCACACTTATTAACCCCAGTTAATTGTGATTATTAGGCATTTAAGGCTGATGCCTTCCCTCACGAAGTGGTGATCCACCCTTATTAACCCCAGTTGATTGCGATTAAGAATTAAAGACTGATGCCTTCCCTCACCAGTTGGTAATCCACCTTTAACGCCCCAGTTAATTGTTGATTAAGCATTAAATACTGGATGACAGCTCTGTATCCCGACAGGTCTGAATTATTAGTCTGCTCAGGCAGGGCTTAGCTTCGCGCCAAACAGACCTAGCTAAATCCAGCAGCCAGGCCCTCTATTACTC